GCTATAAACAGCTGGTTCCGACTTGCATATCTTAAGACCCTTGAGCAACACGTGCGCTCAGAGTCGCGCTCAACTAGTCGCGGTTGCCCTGGGGCCATTTAGACATGCCACCCGCATACCAACGCAGCAGAACCCTCTAAAGGCGACACCCCGTCGGTCAATGCAACAAACCAATAGCACACCACTTTAACTCGCTCCAGAATCTCGTAAAAGCAACTGTTATCTCAATCTCTCACATAGGCACAAAGCCAAACACTCTCGGGCACGACTGGAGGCAGTCAACGTCAGCTCTGGCTTCGCCAGTGGCTGCTGCTGCCTGAGATAGCAATGCAGGGTTCTGTGCATAATACAGTCCTCATTTTAGAGTGTTCCGTCTTTTACCTACAATCTGGGATTCGATCTGATGATTGTAGTGCTCTAAGCGCAACCACTACTTCGACGCTCCCCACAGTCAAAACTTCGGCTTTAGAAATCTGGGCTAAAATACTATTGCCTGAATTTTATTAATGCCTAAACGAGCGCAGGCATTGCAGACATATCCACCTCCTGAACCATCTCTCCGGATGCATGCATCATGGACGCACTAGCACAGACCAGTTAATCCCATTTTTCCGTGTATAAGTTAAGCGAACACCGCAAATGTGGTCTTATGCTATCAAGGATGAACTACTTTTGCATATCTTGGACAGCCTTTCCTAAGCGAAAAATCAAGATTAGTACTTGAGGAGTTTGTGCGCACACTCCACCCCAAACACCGTAAATCGCAACCTGCCTGCACGTACCTCTCGCAAATTAAGGCACAGGGAAAGAACTGACATCAACTCAGTTTGTTGCAGGAGAGCGAAAGCCCACCTTTGTGAATAGTCTTTCGGGAAGGCTGGAAGCGTCAGGAACAGTACAAATTAATTGAACAAAATATGACATTTTAGGACATTTTACCGTAAGACGGAGATTGCAGGAGGGCCTTTTCTGGCTGGAGATATTCTCCTTCAATGTAGCAGCGGAAATTGCCGCCACACTCGAGTTTCGAACCCGCGTCTCTCCGGTCAGAGACAAACGCCCTAATCATTGAGCTAACAGGCTCGATGTCTTGCCTCTTGTTGATCGGGACTATAAATTAGTAGATAGGCGTACACCGATCAGTTATAGGGCATCAAAAACCAGGGCGGGTGTTCCCTGTAACTGATCGGTGTACGCCTATCTACTAACATATGATATGTTCTCTTTCGAAACAAGGTTTTATACACACGGATTTTCCGTCTGTAATTTTGCGCTAAAGTCTCCCAGAGTTCGCAACTGGCTCGAGCATTCGACGGTCTGATTCGCATATTCTTTGCAAAAGGTAATCGTTTGAAGGAAAAGTTCGAAAGAGAAACTGACAGCTCTTCTTCAAAATAAAAAGAACATATATAAAAGATTGAGGAAAAGTTCTTCATCGGTCTGAGAGGCGTGCTTGAGCAAGGGAAATCTGGGTCTAAGTGTGCGTTTTTTAGGGGGGGAGGGGAGGGGGCACCAGATGATTGAGCAAATTCAGTCACACTGATGGTTCAGAATGCAGCCGTCCGCCTGGTTTGCTGTGGTGACCAAATTTCCACTTCATTCGGATAGAGGAGGTCAAAGATCTCTGAAGCGTAGAGGTAAGAGAAATTCATAAACAAAAAGAATGCATCTACTTACTAACATTGAGTAGCCCAAATTTATTAGATAATCAGAAAGTATTGGCTCACCTTGTATGTTAGCTTCGAGTACGCGTATGTTCTTAAGAGAACTTGCAACCACTGGATGCATTCCAGTTGCTCTTCCCGATCGGATGGCTCCGACTTCTTCGTCTCCATAAATATCGTCACCCGGAGAGCAACTGCCTGATTCTGCATAGTCACGCCTATAAAGCACGCAAAAAGTATGATATTGTAGTCGCGAATTTCCCGGGCACGTAAATTTAAGGCTAGTCGGACAAAACTTTTACTCATATTCACTGTTCAAGGTGGTATAACTACTGGTAACACTGAACGAAGTCAAATGCATGAGTGAAGGGAATTTAATCAGGTAAAGGTAATTGACACTAAATATGAAGGCACTACTTTTAATAGTGTCATTAAGTTGTGCTTATGCTGAAATCTAGAAACTGTTTGAATGTTTAAATAGCCTCTTCAGGACAATAGGAAAAAATAAATGCAAAGAAAGTCCGAATAGATAAAAATGACATTTAAAGGCCCTCGAAATCATAAGGAGAGACGCATCGGATGTACATGTGTTGGGAATTCGTCAATTCCCACGATGTGTTACCTCACACAAAGGCGTGTGAGCTACTTCGTTGTCTAGTCCGCGATGTCTCCTCAATTCCGATTGGTGCATGTCCGATTGGACAATGTAGCCCACGCGGGCCATTAATAAACGTAGCCTTTATGTGACAAGGATTTACTCTAACTTGATTTGTGTGAAGACACGCTGCTCGTGGTCGCTCGTGTTCTCTTGCTTCTCTCGTACTGGGCTTTGGGTACCGTGTTCATGCTTGCTCGCTGTTCGTGATAATTACAAGTACCAGGTGGGGTCATAAGAACACTTATGTAGCAAAATTAAACAGTTCGAAAATTTGATCACTACTCTCGTCGTGATCTGCTTTCGTAACTTTTGCGGAGGGTTTAGGTATAGATATAAATAAAGCCTTGCAGCGGAGACCTGTGACGTTGGACATAAGTCTTTGATGTTTTTTCCATTACTTTACGTAAAGTACGGTGAGTAATTTCAATGAAAACTGGAGCGTAATCCGATGGGAGGAAATCGCATTAAATTTGATTTGCAGGGGAGCATTTTTGTAGCTAGTATTCATTCTTAGAGATGGTTTTGATAAGGCACGAGCATATGGACCCCAACCATTGCGGACGGCCTGGCGCCAATTTTAAGGCAGTTATGGTTAGGATTAGCGGTAACGCTAAAGTTAGGACCCCAACTCTAGCTCTAAACCCAATCTTAATACTAACTTTATTTTCCCTATACATTTTTCGCAAGACCCCAATAATAAGGGCAGCTCACGTGTCGTACTCTCTTGTTTTAGTTTTCCTTGACGTTCATCGTTTTGTCGCCTAGATGTAGTCTTTTACTTCGAAAAAGCAAGGAAATGAA